GTGCCTAGCCCCGCAAACAGTAATTGCCAGTCACTGTGGCATTCTTTCAAACACAGCTATTATTGTGTTCAGAGGGAAAAGAGCTCCTATCTTGGATAAGGTTACCTGGACAATAAGGCTATTATGCTTCCAAAGTACCCAAATTACTTTTTTGATGATAGAATAGAGAGGATCTGGGTTGGTATCGGAGGGACGAGGATATTGTTTGATCTCCTGTGTTGGCTTTGTCTCTGCAAGGACCAGCATGCCTCTCAGGCCAGTTGTCTCACAACAGGTAGAAGTCATTTCTCCAAAGGGATACCACTTTTAGGAGGGACTTTCAGAGCATTAAGAAGGCCTGTTATCCAAAATAATTCTCCTTATTCATTGACCTTATTCTTTTTTTTAAGAGGTCTTTGTCCTAGGGTACGTGAGCTCCCCAGAGAGAGAGAAAGACAGACACAGTGAAGGGGAAAGTGAGAAACCACTCTCCCAAGGGAGTGGCCATGCCGCAATTCCTTCCCCTCCGTTCTTTTCCTGGGATCTTGGGCACACACACACATGCGTGATTTTCAAGTCACAGGCTCTGGAACTTGAATGACAGTCAGCCATGTGGGAGTTCAGCGATGTAACTGCTATGCCATCTTCTGGCCCTAGACCGATGTCTTTATCCAGTCTTCCTTTTACTTAAGGCTTTGATTCCCAACACAACCTGGGGTAGATAATGTAATTTTCCTCTGTTCATAAACCTCTCTGTTCCTTTCTCCAGAACTATATTTAGGGGGAAGGAGGAAAGATTATGAAGATATTGGTTTTCTGAGACAAGTTAAGAAACGTACTCTTAGGGAAGTTTGGAGTAAAGAGAAGCAAAGAATGCTTAAGTTGCTCTATTTCATACTGTTATCTGGATTAGAGTATTTAACACTCACTTCCAAAACGAATCAATGTGCTTTGTATGTACAGCTGCCATCACTAGACAGTAGCTCATAGTATAGAACTGCTACTGGGGGACTAGTACATTACATAAGAGCAGCACAAAGATATGGGAAGAGCAGAGCAAAAGATTTTGGATTATGATGCAAGCTTTAAAATACTAACAGGTTTTTGAAAATGGTGTCTTACATAGTAAGCTCATAAATATAAACAATGCAGTAAATCTGTAATGTCTATTAGGTTGGACACTGTCCTCAGATGTAATGATCAAATTAGAAGGTGGAGCAGTAACTGGTCGTAATTCTTTTTTTTTCTTAAGAGATTTTTTTTTTTTTTTTTTTTTTGTCTTAGGGAGTGTGCACTTGCCAGAAAGAGAGACAGAGACAGTGAGAGGAAAAGTGAGAAATCATCTCCCAGGGGGGATGGCTGTGCTGCAATCCCTTCTCCTCTATTTTCCTCCTGAGATTTTGGGCTTGCACACACGTGCCTGGTGTTTCAAGTTACTGGGTCCAGGACTTGAACCTCAGGTGGACATGTGGGAGTCCAGCGATATAACCGCTAAGCTACCTACTAGTCCCAGTGGTCCTAATTCTAGTTTAGGTCCTTGGGTCAGAAATCATTTTAAGAAAAAAACCAAAAAACAAAGAAGCCCTAAAAAAACCAGAGTTGTATAATGCTTTATAGTTGACAAAGACCTTTTACATTAAAAAAAAAAAATTTTTTTTTGAGAGGGTTTTGCGTGCGCTCGCCAGACAGAGAGAGACTTAGCGACAGAAAGCGAGAAATCATCCCCCAGGGAGAGATGACCATGTTGCAATCCCTTCTCCTCCATTCTCCTCTCGGGCTCTTGGGCACGCACGCACACGCGCCCGGCATGTTTTAAGCCACTGGGTCTGGGATGCGAACCATGGTCGACTACGTGGGAGTCCAGCAACATAGCCATTACGCTAACTCCTGGCCCCCCCCCCCCCCCCTTTTTTTTTTTTTCAAGAGGTTTTTGCCTTTGGGTGCGTGCACTCGCTGGAGAGAAAAAAAGAGAAAGTGAGAGGGAAGGTGAGAAATTACCCATCAGGGAGAGATGACCATGTTGCAATCCCTTCTCCTCCATTCTCCTGGGATCTTGGGCACTTATACACATGTGCCTGGCCTGGGTTTCAAGTCACTGGGTCTGATACTCAAACTTTTGTTGGCCATGTGGTAGTCCAGTGATGTGACCACTATGCCTTCTGCTGGCCCCTTTACATCCATTTTAAAACTCAATCTTCATAATAGTCCTGTAGTAGATACTGGGTTCTACTGAGGAGCAGACTCAGATACTGACCTGACGTGACACTAAGTAAGAGTGTTTTATCACCAAGACCAGCACTCCGACTGCCACAGAGCTCAGAGTTGCCTCATGGGATCAGACATCACATCAGAAGGTTCTTCTCTAAGGATGAGGCAATTACTCTTTATTACCAGCAGTTTCATAATGTTGGGGATGGTTATGCTAGCGACCTCTCTTGCTGCTTGGTATTTTTTCTGACTTTCATCGCTTACGGTGTTTTCATTTTGTGGTTTTCTCCTTGCAGTAGATACTTCATAAAAGCAACTCTAGCTACAAAATTGCCATCCTGAAAAAGAAACACAGAACTTCCCCTTTAAATTTCCTGTTGGAATGGAAAACTGAGAATCAGGGATTTACACCAGGCTCAAAACTTAGCTGTAGCGTCAGAGTCTCCTCAGCAGTTCCCTTTCTCTAGTGATGAAGGGCAGTCCTGATTCCTGCTCTGGCCACTGACAAGCTGTTAGGTCAGTTTCTCAAGTCCTAAGGACTGTGATGCAGAAACGTGGACTTCTGCAAGGGCCAGGTCACTAGGTTCAACTTGGTGGCTAAAGGAAGCCATGTGTTTCATGAGCCTGATTTTAACACACACAGGGGACAGCACCAGAACTAGAATTAACTTTCACTAATTCAGCAAACATTTACAGCCAGAAATAAAAATGTGAATGAAAAGAGACTTTGAACCTTAAGAAATTTTTCCTCAAGTAAATATAGAACAAATGCCAAGTTCTATGAGAAGACAAGAAAATGATCAGCTGTTTTGGCCTAATGGGCTAAGAATGACAGAAGTAATACTTCTTTGTTTTCAAAAGTTGTTTATTTATTCATTCCATGAGTGAGAGAAGAGAGACATCCTCATGAGGATCCTGATGCCATCCCCTAGCTTCAATCATGGGCACATACACACCATTTACTCAGGAAGGTCACCTAGGGGTGAACTGGTAAACTTCCTGTATGGGTCTGCCTCACAGTGTCACACTATAGCTGTGCCACTGTCCGGCCCTAGATGTGACAGTTCAGTTAGTCCTTGAGAACTGAGTAGAAGCACAGTGGTGGAAAACCATGTCAGCGAATCTGCAAAGAATTTCGGGCACCCGACTTCTGTGTCCAGCCCTCTAATACAGATACAGGTAGCAGTACAGTTTGGGACCTTGTAGTACAGGACAGGGTTAGAGATGTACATTGCATATGTAATAATGGTTCACAATCCAGTTGACCGGACAATAGTGGAGACTTGGCTTAATTACTGGATTCAAATAAATGCCTACTGTGCACCTTGAGTGGAAGACTTGGCCAGTGGTTCTTGGCTTTAACAAAATTTATGATCAAAATACTGTAGATGTTTAAGTGGTTTTGTTTGGGTAACAAGTACTTCAGTATTGTATATTCCTTCCACTTGGAGGGAAAAAAATAAAGTTCTCCACTAATTTCTAAATTCACTGTGCACTTTTTAAGTTTTGCAATTAATGGTGGTAATCAGCAGTTTTCAGTAAATGAGAACCACCGATAGCAACAGAAATTATGTAGCAGGTTTCTGAATATACAGAGACAATTCTGAATTGTCATGATAAAAACACTAAAAATCTGCAGTAAGTTGAAAACATATATAGAGCTGGGAAAAAAATCACATCTCAGGATAAAACTCCGAGTTAAAGCTTATGGCTTTTTTTCCTCCAAAGACACACTCTGAAAATGCAAATCAATGACAGAGTCGAAGACTGGATAGTCCTAGTAACTACTGACTAGGAAAAAAAATGAGAGGTAAAGATGCCTGCACCACAAATTATTCTCTCACCATTTGTTTGCAATGCAACTCAGGATGAGTTATTTGGAAGTAAGGCTAGGAATTCACCAGTCATGTTAGTTACAAACTCTTCATGGTCTCCCATACCCAGCACAGGACTTTCTAGTATTTAAGAGGTCTTCAGAGTATGTCTGTGGAATAACCAATAGTTAGAAGATCTTAAGAGTGATCTTGTAAAACAGCATATAGTCTAAGGAAAGTGATTTTTTTTTTTTAAGTTTCCAAAATTAAGAACCATTTTACTGGGGCCAGTAGATGGTGTGGAGGTTAAAGGTGCTGGCCTCCCAGAAGACCAACCGCAGTTTGAGTCCTAGACCTGGCGGCTTGCTTTCTCGCTTTCCCTCTCTCTCACACTCTGTCCCACTCTGGTCAAATTAAAATAAACACATGAATAAAGTTAAACAATTCTAAAAAAAAAAAAAAAGAATGATTTTACTTACTTGAAGTCTATTTGCATTTATAATTACATTTAAACAATATGGACATGAAAGACCATTAAAAAATTTTTTTTTAATTTAAGAGACGATGATTTTATAAGTGAGAAGACAATTTTATTTAAAGTTGATTTTGAAAAAATGAAGGAGGCAATGGACTCCCTGGTATGGTGGTCAAGCACTTGTTGAAGAAAAGCTGGACTCCACATGGTGACTAGGGTTTGAGTCACTAGCACAGTCAGCCAGAAACATGCTGGGCACATAAGTGCACGCCCGAGGTCTGGCAGGCTGGAGGACTGGAGGACTTGAGGAAGAGGATCATGGTATGACTGGAACCTACAGAGGGTATTCAGCTCAGATTCCCTCTCTCCATGTGCACATGTGAGATTCCTTCTCTCTCACATGTGCACAGTTGTACTTTATCATTAACAAAGGATATAAACTTAAAAAAAAAGATGAGGTGGGTTATTTTGCAATGATAAAATAACTTTTAGAATTTTATAATAAAGATACATCTGACCACCAATTAATAAAAAAGTACCCTTTTATTGAGAGGAAAGACAAATGTATTTACAATATTCAATTGTTAGATCATATAACCTGACCGTGAGACTTTTTAAAGCAGCAGTATTTCAGGAATTACAATTTATAAGAGGGAAAAACATTCCAAGTATGTTTCTGTTACAGAAAATACATTTAAACATGGGGCAGAAACACTTAAGGCTAAGGAGTATGAGACCTTTTCCTCCATCTCTGTAGAAAGAATCAAAGTACAGTTTTGTCACAAAGACAGAAGGCTGTTTTGTAAAGGAAGAAACGATAAGATGTACAGAGCCTTTCTTCAGAAGACTGGTATGTTTAAAAATAGAGCCTCATGGGGGTTCTGAACAAGACATATATGATGCTGCCAAGTAGTCTCAAATGGACATGTGATATTAAATGCAGACTCATATAAAACTGAAAACTGCTCTAGCCTCTCATTCTTACTAAGGTCTGGGAGATTATCAAATCCTTTTAAGTTCAACAATGCTTTCTGACATGATTGCTGAAAAAGGGAACTCTGTTACACTGCAAAGAACATTTTAATAGAAATCCATGTCTACAAAGGAGTTAAATAATATGGATGTTCCTTGGATGAACAGATACTGTTCTTTCTCTAAAAAGGTAGCATTTCTCTAGCCACTGTAAATAATACAGGTCAGTCAAAAAATATGTGTAACAGAGTTCTACAGGGCACCTTACATAAGTCAATCCTCAAGGTATGTGTATTTGACACTTTCCAAATGAAGATATTACTTTTTTGAAGAACATTAGACACAACACTAGGTCTCTTATTATTCCATGAACTATTGAGGTAGGAGTCTCCATTTGTCAATATTATCGTATTTTTCACAGATTATATAATATTTTAAATGCAAGTACCAAAAAAGACAGTAATCCACAAGACTGAACCATTACACTTTCTACCAAGTCTTTCCTTCTTTAGGTGAGCAAGGTGGGATTTTCCCTGTGCATCAAGATTTAACTGAAAATAACACAAGCTGTAATATATCTTGTAGACATGTTTGTAAATAAATACTACAAATTTCAATTATAATTTTATGCATTAAAAAGCGTTGCAACTGTTAGAAAAAGTAAGTAGTGCAATCAGTAGTGGTAAAACAAATAGCACTATGGCTGTTGAAATCTGTTCCTACATTTACCACAAAGCCGATACCCTGGGAAACTAAAACAACTGCTGCTTCCTACTGTCAGTCAGCAATGGCAGGAAAAAAAGCAACACACTCATTATTGTTTTAGTGTCATGTTTTTTAAGAAACTATAGCCAGTTTTTAATTGCAGTAAAATAACATCAGCATGTGAACTCAGGTTTTTTGTCTGCTAACTCAAGATGAATATGAAGCGTATGTCTATAACTCATACTGATTTGTGTATGTTATGAAAAAGCTGAAAAGAAGGGAAAACTCGGATGAAATGAATAGCCTTTAAAAAAGTCGTAAGTTTAACCTTTTAATATGTTATATGCCTTAAAGAAGACATTACAAAAAGTTATTTAATTTAGGAAAAACAAATTAATAAACCACTGCTAACATTAAAAAAAATAAAAACTACAACATGATATGGGAAAACCCATTTGGTTTGCATCATTTAGTATTTTAAATAAGACTATTCAATAACACAAGCCATGTAACAGACGACTTCATGGTCACGAATGCTTTTTGATAAATGTTTCCATGTAACGACTGACACAGACAGATATACAGGAGGTCAGACTCCCAGTATGAGCATTTCAAGAGTGTAACTGCCAACCAAAAAAGAGCTGAGTCAGCTATCATCGTTTAGGGACTAAAAAGCTAGTAAAAAATGACCTTTGCATATTCCAACAAAGAATATCTACTTCATATTTTTATCTGGCTTTAAAATATTAAGATTCAGAAGAACCACAAAAGTTTTAACTACAGGTTTACAAAAAGTGATTTGTACATCAAAACGGTGTTTTTCTTGCTTTTAACACATCAAAAAGACATAATCCAATCTAACTCATGCATCACTTTCAGAGACAGTGCAACTGGAAATATTTTTGTCATTGCAGTGGACATTTCTAGAAAGCAAATGCCTACGTGTGCTCCTGAACCCTCACGTGAAAAGAGACAGGCGCCACATTTTCTAAAGATGGCTGTGTTTAGCACACTGTGGAAAAACAATAAAAATAGCCTTCAAGTTTCAATTTGAATTGTAACATGGATTTCAATTCCCTCAGTTTGCTTGATGGCTTCTCAGATCACTGAATTAGAAGCCTGTTTTCATTGCTTCTTTGCTAATTGCTGTTGGTACTTTGGAGGCTATAAGTTTTAAACTTCTGTAAAGAACATGATAAGCTATTTCTGGTAATTTAATTTTGTGCTGAATATTCTTCAAATGAATTTTTATAAATAATACAATATTTTAAATGAGTCTTCAAATTCACTTGTTGTTATACCATATTGTTGCTTTCTCCAACTTTATCTACAAACTGTAAGGAAAAGAAGAACACATAATTAAACAAAGCCTATAGCATTATAAACATTTTAGCAACATTTCAGATGTTAATTTAAAAACCCAGCTTTACAAGTAGATTCGTGGAAATTTAAGATATGACTGACGATGATTAATCCAGTACTACTCACCACCATTTTCTGACACATAAATGTGTATCGTTTTTTTTCTAAAAGTTGTTTTTGCATGACATGTTATACATATGAATTGAAGGGTGCAACATGAAAAATGCAATACAATGAGTAAAAAAATTGTATAAAATGAAGTTAACACTGCTAGCTTAACAACAAAAAACAAAAACAAAAACGAAAAACTGAAATGTCAGCCATTCATGCATTAATGAACCCAATAAGATATTTCAACTGACCATTACTGTGGATCTCTTCGGGGCCTATGTAGTCTTTGAACAAACAGATTTAACTCCATTAAGTTCAATAATTAACAACGGCTATTGACTAAAAATTACTTTAAATGTGTATTTTGGACTTCAGACTGAAAGTGGCAATGACATTAAAAATAGATTTAAAGATGCAAGCATGAATTTATAATTACTAAATATAAATTTTATCACACATTAACGTACATGGTTATTTACTTTTGGTTACTCCACCCCCAATATAAAGCAGTTTGGCTTTCTTGGCATTGCAGATGATGATGATGCAAATATTAAAGTATATAATTAGTGGTGCTAGTAAAAGTTAAATAACTCAGTGGTTTTACACTATCAAATTTTAGCAATCGTCTAGCCATTTCTTTCATTTCACTATTCCACATACTTTACAGAAGCATTTATCATAATAAAGTAATAATGATAGAAAACTGCTGTGTTAAGTGTCTACTAATGCAAATAATGGAGACTCCTTAAGCTCCTAAGGACACAAATGATATTTACAACTCTATAGCTACAAATTTCAGTAAATTCAAAAACCATTCTAAATATAAAAAACATTGACTACTGTATGAGTTTGGTGATTAATGCAAATGAAGTCAGGATATACTCCTATAAGCCTATGTTCCAACATTTTATATTATCAAAAATAGGTGACTTGCACCCTGAAACTAAAAATTGCTCTGAAAAGTATTCTGGATTTGTTATAATTTTAAGTAAATGTAAGTCAAGAGAAAGCACAACATTCTCTCCTTGAAGGTAAATTCAGATATCTAGGTTGTCTTGCTATAAATTTCCAACTCTAAATTAATTTAAACACAGGGATGGAAATGCAATTAGGCTTATAGTGGTATTTAATTTTCTGTTGGTAAGCCACCTTTCAGCTCTTTGAGAATTCAGGAAATGCTATGGACCTTCTTTCTGGAACAACTATAAAAAAATCAGACAACAACCTGGGGAAGCTGATGCACTCCTTAGACTTAATTAGAACTTACGGTTTTTAAAATCTGCTTTTAAAGCCAATTTATCCTAGTTGTTTAAGAGAGACTTGTAACTATGAAACCAAAGAAAGATACGCATCAAGGTTACTTCTGACGTGGGTCAGATCAAGAGCTAAGAGGATTGTCCCTAAGGTATCTGAATTTCAGATTACCCAGATTCTCAAGAATTTAAGGATTTCATTTAGCTTTGAAACTTAAAGGGGTAGGATTAAAAAAAAAAGTTACTTGGATGATTTGAAATCGACCAAGTTCCCTGAGGTCAACAAAATGCAGTCTTTCGTTCATTCATTCACCTGGCAAAAATGTGTTGAGCTTCCTTTCTGTCAGGGATTGTGTTGGGCACAGGGAGTAAAGCAATACCTAAAATACAGCCCATGTCTGCCCCAGGGGACTGTAAAGTTCTCGTGGAAGCCTCTGTCTTGACCATTAAAATGGAGGTGGAGGTGAATGTTATGGCAGAGGTATGCACAGGGCTGCTGAGAAGCACATCTTGAGCTAGCCATGGGGAGGTGGGCAAGCTTTTTCTAAGGAGGAATAAATGAGGTGAATCCTGAAAGGCCTTCTGAGCTTCCATGAAGAGATGCCATTGCCTTCAAGTAGGCAGTTTAGTACCAAACATTTAGTGAAGGAATATTAAATGATGGGAAGAAACTTATTGTCAATTTTTAGAATGTTCTCTTTAATCTTCATTATCTAAGTGCTTTTATCAAGGTGGAAACTAAGGCCCACTTTGGAGAAACAGACTTGACTGTTTAAACTGTGGACAGAGCTAGGAACAGAATCTTATCATCTGACTCAGTAATAGTACTTTATTGAACCATCTCAATCTATTCAATTTGGTGACACAGTCTGGAGGAATATTTGTAAGAAATAATGGTTTCCTTTTTATATCACTGCTTCTGAAATTAGGGAGCTACTAGCAAATTGAAAAGTCCCTTCAACTCTCAAAGAGAAAGGCAACAAAGAAGATCAATCCAAGAAACATTAAAAAAATAGAGAACAATATTAAAAATGGATACAGTGAAACAAAATTTCAGGTTTCACAGGTTTAGTAATGACCATTTCCTAATATGCATGGCAACCAGAACCTATGTGATTTAACCATTTATATTATAATAAAAAATGATCCTCAATTACTCAGTCATGAATCAATTAGTCAAAATTCAAAAAGTAAATAAAACCAAAAGATATTTGGATGGTTTATAAAAATACCGCTAAACCCATGACTACTTACTGATCTAATTCCAGGCAAATTTAAAAGGGATCCAAGAACTGGCACTCTTCTAATAAAGCCAACGACAACAGGAAAGAAGCCCCTGGAGGAGAAAAGAAGGTTCTTAAAACTTACACATTTTCTATGACACAATGAACTGTTGATCAAGTAAAATGTTTGAAAGTTTCAGAGACGTCAGTCTTGGAATTAGGAGTTATTAGTAACATAACTGAAAATTCTGTGATTATTGGTAAAAATATGAGAAAAGTGAATGAGCTTAGTGATACTATATGCTCAGACTCAGGAGTTATCTCAGCTGAACTGCTGAAGATTTCCTAATTACAGTGAGTAGTGTGATATGAAACAGATCAGAAGGAGGGAGTTGTACACAGCCAGGAAAATAATAATAGCTATCATTTACAGAATACATACTAAGTGCTAACACTTAGTTAATGCTGAGAGACTACCTGTCAGATGGTAATCCTTACATTAAGTCTTGTTTTTTGGTAGAAACACAAGCCCATAGAGGTTACATAACTACTTCTATAGAGGTAGCTTAGCTGACCCACAATCAATTTTAACATTAGAAGTAATAATTTACTGAAAGAAATGAGATAAAAATAAGAAAGGAGAAAAGGAAATAATTTATTGAAAAATGACCAAGGAAATAAACTTTTCCTGAATCTTAAAACTAAGAATATACAGATGAAAATACATTAAAAAATAGAATTCAGGAATTATGTAGTATGACATCATTTTGAATCTGCAGGAAGTCAAAGTATAAGGACTAAAAGATTTAAATAAAAAGTAGACTTTTTAAATTAGAGAAAGATCTTATACTGATGTTATATGTACATGTTTTAAAAAATCACAATTGTTTTCTAGTAGTACTAAATTCAAAAGGCTCATTTTTTAAAGTATTTTTTTAAATACAAAAAAGTATGATTTTAAATGCTATTTTTTAGGATTTCAAATATCTAGAAAATTATCCAAAGGCCCTTGATGCTACATCTCTAGCTAAGAATATATCATAATAAAACCCAACAAGAGAAACTGGTATTTGTGATGTAAGACTTCCCATTCTTTATTTATCTCAAAGATAAGCTCTGTCTTTTAACCATCCCCCCTTTACTAAAATTCCTGCATAATTTTAAAATCCAATGATTTTTCTTTTATAGTCCTTAAAGTGTTTAGGTTTTTTGCCATAAGATACACCTGACATGATGAACTGCTCTTCACTCTTCTCTCCTAGTCTGTATGATCCATACTCCTAGTTCCTCTCCAACCTCTTAGTTTCTGTGTGCTTCTCTTTCTCCACTTACCCTAAGAGTGTTTCAAAATTCCATCCTTATCACTCTATCCTCTGTACTTTTATCAACATCCTCTAAACTGGCTTCCTTGCCTCTGATTTTTCTCTTTTCAGTACACATGTTATCCTCATAAAATACCTACCTGGTTATATCACTTTGGCTTAACAATTTTTGTGGCTCTCCCTTTCTCAAACATTGTTTCCTAGTCCAAATTTGGCTATAGGACGAAGTATACTTTTCTTCTTTCTTTCCTTTTTTTTTTTTTAAGAGAGAATTTTGCTATAGGGTGCATGTGCTAGCTGGAGAGACGGAGAGACAGAAAGCAAGAAATTGCCCCCCCCTCCCGGGGGATGGACATGGCTCAATCCCTTCTCCATTCTCCTCTTGGAATTTTGGGAGTGCACACACAAGTGTCCAGTATGAGTTTTAAATTGCTGGGTTTGGAACTCAAAATGTGGTTGACTATGCAGGAGTCCAGCAACATAACCACTATGCTATCTGCTGATCCAAGTATACATTTCTTAAGAAATCATTCAAAGAAAGTTTGCAACCTGGTTCCAAACTTCCTTTTCAGGGGCCACACAGTGGTGCAGTGGTAAGCAACTGTACTCACATGAAAAAGGTCCTATGACCCGTATCCTGGGAACTCCCTGAACATGCTGGGAGTGCTCAAGATTCAGGCCAGCTGAGACTGGGATGTACTGTAGCGTGAAGGCCCTGTTGGGAGTGCTTCCCTCACATGGAATAAAGGAACTTAAAGAAAAAAATCAAACGTTCAGCCTCACTGCCAACCATTTCTTTTCATTTATCCCATGCTCTTACTCTATCAGAATGATCATTCTCTTAGACCAAACAGACCCTGTCTGTTCCTTCGGTCTAGTCAAATGTCCTTCTATTTCTCATTTATAGAATGAATTCTTACCCATTCTTTCAGGTCTAGTTTTCAGTTAACATTTCTTACCTCTCCCTAGATTTAATTCCTTCTGTAATTATGCTCCTATAATATTTTGTATATACATCATTAACAATATTATGACTGTATCTTACTGGTATATTTATAGTGTATTTCCATTACTGAAACTGAGATATTTCCTAAAGTAGTTTTGACACTTAAATCATTTTTATCTCCTATGGGTAATTTGGTGCCTGATAGATAGAAGACAAAAAGGAACCAGCAGTTAGCATAATGGCTATGTCGCTGGACTCCCATGTAGTTGACCGCGGTTCCCCTTTCTCAAACATTGTTTCCTAGTCCAAATTTGGCTATAGGACGAAGTATACTTTTCTTCTTTCTTTCCTTTTTTTTTTTTTAAGAGAGAATTTTGCTATAGGGTGCATGTGCTAGCTGGAGAGACGGAGAGACAGAAAGCAAGAAATTACCCCCCCCTCCCGGGGGATGGACATGGCTCAATCCCTTCTCCATTCTCCTCTTGGAATTTTGGGAGTGCACACACAAGTGTCCAGTATGAGTTTTAAATTGCTGGGTTTGGAACTCAAAATGTGGTTGACTATGCAGGAGTCCAGCAACATAACCACTATGCTATCTGCTGATCCAAGTATACATTTCTTAAGAAATCATTCAAAGAAAGTTTGCAACCTGGTTCCAAACTTCCTTTTCAGGGGCCACACAGTGGTGCAGTGGTAAGCAACTGTACTCACATGAAAAAGGTCCTATGACCCGTATCCTGGGAACTCCCTGAACATGCTGGGAGTGCTCAAGATTCAGGCCAGCTGAGACTGGGATGTACTGTAGCGTGAAGGCCCTGTTGGGAGTGCTTCCCTCACATGGAATAAAGGAACTTAAAGAAAAAAATCAAACGTTCAGCCTCACTGCCAACCATTTCTTTTCATTTATCCCATGCTCTTACTCTATCAGAATGATCATTCTCTTAGACCAAACAGACCCTGTCTGTTCCTTCGGTCTAGTCAAATGTCCTTCTATTTCTCATTTATAGAATGAATTCTTACCCATTCTTTCAGGTCTAGTTTTCAGTTAACATTTCTTACCTCTCCCTAGATTTAATTCCTTCTGTAATTATGCTCCTATAATATTTTGTATATACATCATTAACAATATTATGACTGTATCTTACTGGTATATTTATAGTGTATTTCCATTACTGAAACTGAGATATTTCCTAAAGTAGTTTTGACACTTAAATCATTTTTATCTCCTATGGGTAATTTGGTGCCTGATAGATAGAAGACAAAAAGGAACCAGCAGTTAGCATAATGGCTATGTCGCTGGACTCCCATGTAGTTGACCGCGGTTCATGTCCTGGACCCGGTGGCTTAAAACTCACATCGGGCACGTGTGCGTGCGTGCCCAAGATCCCGAGAGGAGACTGGAGAAGGGATTGCAGCGTGGCCCCCCCACCGGGGGGGTAATTTCTCGCTTTCTGTCTCTCTGTCTCTGTCTGGCGAGCGCACGCATCCTATAGCAAACAACCTTCCCCCAAAAAAATAAAGACCAAAAAAAATGCATTTCTTGAATAAACAATTAAGACAACTTTACTTGAAGGTATTTTCCCTTATGTACACTACTGTCTATTTACTTGCTAACTGGCATTTGCAAAATATTAACTGATTGAAATTGCCCATAGTACATGTGGTACGGAATTTTCTAGCATGTGTGTGTGTATGTGTGTGTGTGTGTTGTCAATCAGCAGTACCACAAAGTACTAGGTTCTACGTAGTACCAGGTCACTGGAAAAGTCACAACACATTTTTGCACAGAGAAACAGGAAAACATGTCATGTTTCCGATGACCTATACAGATCAATCAATAACTGTTTAGTTTGTGAAAAGATAAAGAATGTGCCTCAATACGGCAGTAAAATAAATTCTACTGTATTGGAAATACTTTATAAGATAATTTATATTCTTACTCAATCATTTGTATTTGATGAAGTTTTTTATAGTTTATTGATCTAACTAATAAAAGATTCACTCTAAATAAAAACCCAATTAAGGAAGTTATTTTCTTATTCATGCAGATGCAAATATCTGGGTTTCTATAATACTGGTTTGTTGAAAATGAAAATAAAATGATTGTCTTACCTGAACAAAAGAAAGAATCCATAAATTTCGAAGATCATGCCTATCAAAGGCCACCCAATAAGGACTACAAACACACCACCAAGAAAAAATCCTGTAGCTTTCATTTTATGTTTTTGGAAGAAGAATCTGAATGTTCTTTCTAAACCTATTACAAAAGCCAAGCCGGCCACAAATAAAACCTAGAAGAGAAAGAAAATGCAACATAGAAAAAGTAGTTAAACATACTATCTACATTTGAAAAGTAAGGTCAAAGCTAAATATTCAAAAAAGCTTTTGTTTGGCATTTCATGTTGGCAACTGGCCAGAGAGACCTGCAATGCACAACCAAGCAGAACCAAGCAGTTGAGTTAGGCAAGTTAAAGTTGTAGTTGTTTCCCACTTGTCTCGTTCCTCTTCTATCTTGAGTAAATGGAGAAAAAAATACAATTAGAGGTCACCGAGGGGCATGTATGTTTGCAGTAGTTTCCTCTGTTTTAGCTGGATGGAGACAGCTTAGTCAAGCAGATGAACTGGCAAGGCATGAAAGAGGAAAGCTGCCTGTAAATAAGTCACCCAAAGGTACTCCCCCTGGCTCTGAAACATGCATCATGGGCCATAGGGCTTTCCAAGGATGGGAGAAATACTGACAAGGTCAAGTGGGCTGAAGCAAGCTGACTATAGAACGAACAATGAAAAGCCAGGATGAAGATTCTAGCTTTGCTAATTCCAGAAAATTTGGTGGTAGCAAAAATAAATATACAACCACCTGTTTTTAAGTATACATACATTTTATATATTTTCTGACTACAGACAAGAAATAGTGCTCCTTTAAAAGCTTGCCTTTTTCCGTGTTTTATTTCCAATTATTTGGCCTACTCCATTAATTTTATTTAGTAAAAAATACTTTAGACAAATATATATTTAGCCTAATAGTTAAACTTCATATTCTGGGATACCAATGCTATTTATATTTACATTTATTAAAACATCAGTTTAAAAAACTTTTGTTATTTTTTTTTCTTGTTTTCAATAATAGTAATGAGTATATATGCATCAAAAGACAGGTAATCATTATTTGGTGACTTTATGGCCTTCTTAGAAGGGTATTATTTACTTCTAGAACTCCTGCATATCCCTCTGCCCATAGACAGGATAGCACACATTCCAAATAAGTAATAAATACTCCTTTTAAGGTAAGTCAACTATTAACATAGAGATAACACATTTTTAAAAGGTTTATAAAAATCTGTTTATTTTATATTGTTGAATTAAATGTGAAGTCTCAGAGGTTTAAAATCAAAACATCTGAACAAATTTACCAACACAGGGACTATCGACTCATTTATTTTGAACTATTTAGAGGTAGTCTTCATTTAGCTTATTGTAAGTTATAAAAGAAACACTTAACACAGTAATTATGGGACTAAAAACCTCATTAAGTGTTTTACCTTTTATTTAAACAGAATGATAACAGGTGTCACTCCTGATGGAAGTGGAGAATGTACCAGAAATTACATTATGAGTAACAGTGAATTATTTCCCCCAGACTTAATAGCAGGTAATAATTCATTTGTAGTTAAAATTTTCTTATAAATTTCGTTAAAATATATATTTAAAAACTCACATTTCCAATAGCCAGTAGTGCTTTGTCAAAAAAGAGAATCATCCCAAAGAACAGGAAAAACACTCCAAATCCTGTTAATCCCATTCCAATTTCTGCAATATAAGTTATATGGTTAAGGGTAGAGAAAAATTAAAGTCACATTATCATCCTTGTAAACTAAGTAAGAAATATTTTCAGTTTTTCTTTCAACTAATATAAGGAAATATATCCCCAACACTATAGGTTAACTCATAATGATCCTCATTAAAATCTATGACAAGTTCTATTAATACTAGTAAATTACCTCAAAATTTGAAATATGAATAGGAATTTCTCACTCTGATGTGAGAGAAAGCATTTCTCATAGACATATCCATAATAGCAAAGGATAAAGGAATCTAAACCTTTGGTTGTTTGTTTACTTCCCAAGACCCCATCTAGACTTAACATAAGTACATACAATAATTTACTTCAACTATTTATCTCCTTTTACATTTTATGATTGTTATTTATATGTATAATACCAGTAGCTCCTTCTTAATCTTAACGTTAATTCCTTCTTTAACCTTTTACAATTGTTAAAGTAGGTAAGCATAATATACATAGTCATTTAATTATACACTGCTTCTTACAATGGCAACAAGACGTATCCTGAGAATCATGTAGCTGTCTTCCCAAATGATAATTTTCAGGTTAGGCAAGACTTTTAATTTCCTGATAGCTTTCAGTTTTAGGTTTTTGTCATAAAGTGTGTGGACTCACCAGAGAGAGACAGGGAGACACAGAGAGAGGGAAAGTGAGAAATAACCCCCCAAAAGAGGATGGCCACAGCACAATTCCTTTTCCTCCATTTTCCTCTTGGGATTTTGGGCAGGCACGCACACACCAGCAGGTCCGGGACTCACACCACAATCAGTCATGTGGGAGTCCAGTGCCATAACCACCATGCCTCAATAGCTTATTATGGATTTATAATCTACAAATTTATCAAATCTATGAATCCATTTATAAATTTTGTCCAGAGTACTAAAATCATCTCTAAATTTCAAAGAACACTTTTACCTAAAATGAATAATCTAAGTTTATACTCTACCATTCAAAAACAAGAATTCCTAGGGAACAGCAGTTAGCGTAATGGCTATGTTGCTGGACTCCCATGTAGTCCACTGAGGTTTGCGTCCCAGACCCGGTGGCTTAAAACTTACTCCAGGTGCGTGTGCGTGCATGCCCAAGATCCTGAGAGGAGAATGGAGGAGAAAGGATTGTGGCGTGGCCATCCCCCAGGGAGGTGATTTCTCGCTTTATATCTCTCTGTCTGTCTGGCGAGTGCATGCGCCCTATAGTAGAAACCTCTCCAAAAAAATAAACCCCAAGAATTCCTGAATTCTAAATGGTAGGTACTGTTCTAGGCACTGAATATACAGTGGTGGGCAAAGTGTAAGCTTTGAAGTCTAAGTTCATCATAATTATTATAATAATCAATAATTTTATCAATTTTGTGGTCTGCAGGTGTTCTTTTTAGTTCAAAGTCTTTGCTTTCTAAGGTGACAGATGTACTTTTCTATATAAGCACAACCCATTAAGTCACCACCTTGACCATTTCAGTTTTGTTTTTAGGAAAATGTCACCAATTCTTATTTTATTTATTATAAAAGTACTACCTGTATTCAGACAATGAATTAGAGTAGAAGCCACAATATTTTTGGAAATACAATTTTAAACATACTATTAGTAACACCTAATCTGTTACTTAACATTTTCCCTTAGTTCCAGAAAGCTAAAATCTAGGTCATGGCTATTTAATTTTTTTTTTTTTTTCCAGAGAGATTTTTGCTACAGGGCACGTGCACTTGCCGGAAAGACAGAGAAAGAGAGACAGAAAGCGAGAAATCACCCCTGGTGGGATGGCCACACTGCAATCTCTTCTTCTCCATTCTCCTCTTGGGATTCTGGGCATGCATGCACACATGTCCAGTGTGTTTCAAGCCACCAGGTCTGGGACTCAAACTGCAGTCAAATACATCCAGTGACGTGACCATTACACCATCTGCTGGCCCCTCAAAAAATGTTTAAGTCATGTAAATGTTCTGATAGCTTGAAATAATATATCGATTTTTACCTTTTTCTACCTCCCCTACCTCCTCAATTTCTAACTATTATCTTCCATTTTAGCTACCTTTTTGCTCCCAAAGTTTGTGTAAAAGAATTCAGGCACCTGTTTAAAATACACCAGTTGAAGTATTCTGTGGACACAAATACAAGCTGATATTTTCATGCTTATGAGAATTTACCAAAATAACTGTTGAGATATCAGACAGTAATTTCCTAGATGGAGTATGTAGACAAAAGAGCAAGTAAAATTACATTAAATAATTAGTAGTTAGAATTTAAGTACTGGCAACTGAATTATTTGAATATGACTAATTTTTAACTCTTTACAAATTATCTTAATGATTACTTACAAGTTTTGAGATGTTTGTTCATCAGAATGGAAATTATATAGAAATACATCTATTTATATATTGAGAATTTACATGAATTAAGCATTTTGAGGTACCTCACATATCACAAGTAACTTAATCCTCCCAATACTATTGGATCATAGGTGCTGTTACATCATTTTAGAGGAAACTAAAATTTAGAGTCAACCTGAACGGCCCAGAGTTGTACTTCTGGTTTAAGTATTTGAACCCAGGTCTATTTTAATTCAAAGTGGTTTGCTTAACCACTATATTGTACTTCCCATAGGAGGTGTGTGTGTGTGTGTGTGTGTGTGAGTGTGTGTGAGAGTGTGTGTGTATACACATATGTATTCCTCCTCCCCAGGCTAAGTATGTTTTGCTAAATGAAACTCGAATACTGGTGTATACTGAATTACTGGGAAGCATCTCTAGGTGATTTAAGTTTAATATTTGTTTCTCTGAAATTTATTTCATAAAAGTGAGAGGGAGGGAGGGAAGGAGATAGATGGGGGAGGAAGGGAGAAGAGAGAGAGAGAGAGAGAGAGACAATCACCCTCAATGGGGTCTCAACATTACAATCCTCCCCCTACTCTCCCTAGCCCTCCCACCAGTCAGGATATGGGCATCCAAAATGCACACAGTGTAGTCCAGTATGGGACAGTTGCTTGTAAAACATGTGTGCCAAACAGGTGCTGGCAGGCCGGCACTATGGCCTAGTGAATAAGGAAGCCAGAATCCACATGGCCAACCATGGCCAAGTGTGGTTCACGTCCTGGCCCTGGCAGCCTGAAAAACAAGCCAGGTGTGTATGTGTATATGTTTATAACTCAAATCCTGATAGGATGGAGAAATGAAGGGATTGTGGAATGGCCATGCCCTGTTTTTGGGGTGTTTTCTCCCTCTGTCTCTCTCAGGCAAATATATACATCCTCTGGCAATTAAAAAAAAAAAAGTTCATTCATTGAAGAATAAAACAAAAGATGCTGCTGCCAAGTATCTCCTTATCTAAAAGGGTCAAAAACTCAAACTGGGGCCAGCAGATGGTGTAGCAGTTACTTTGCTGGACTTCCACATGACTGATCTTAGTTCAAGTCCCGGACCCGGTGGCTTGAAACTCAGGCCAGGTGCACGCCCAGGATCCTGGGAGAAGGGATTGTGATGTGTCATCCTCCCTGAGGAATGATTTCTCACTCTCCTTCTCATTGTTTCTGTCTCTTTCTTCTCAGGCTAGTGTAAAAACTTCTCAAAAGAACAAAAACTAAACCTCAAACTGGCCTCATTGTGCCCTTTTCTCAACTCCAGAATTCCCTACTATTGCCTTGGGGGAAAATAAAGCCATAAAAATTAAACTAAGTATCAACTGTACTGAATAACTCTACTGAATATTATGGCAGAATTTTAGGTAATGTGACAAAATGAAAACCTGCACGCCTTAGAGGCAACATGAGAACTGCCCCTTCCTGATCTCTCTGAATAAATCTTTTTTCTTTTTTGTAGGGTGGGAAACGTGCAATTAGAGAGAGATTCAAATAAACATGAACTGTCATTTACTGTACTCTGTCTGATCAGTGTTTGGTTGCCCTGTGTCAACATCAAACTACCACAATAATCCTAGCAAATTGCTTAAATGATGGCCAGTCCTTGTAGTTTAGCACACATACAAACACATTTTGAAATCTCAAAAGCCTTTGGCTCAGTAATCTTTTTATTTTTCCATCCACTGTATCCCCTAAAACATGTGGCAAGTGAACAGCAAAGAATAAAATTTCATCTTCTGTGGCCAGTAGGGGCGTAGTAGTTAAGGTGCTGGAATCCCACATGGCAGACCTTACTGGAGTCCCAGACCCAGTGGCTTGAAACTCATAGCAGACATGTGAGCATACATGCCCAAAATCCTGAGAGGAGAATGGAGGAGAAAGGATTGTGACATGGCCATTCCCCTACAGGGTGATTTCTCACTTTCTCTCCATCTCTGCAGTGAGCACGTGCACCCCACAGCAAAAATCTCTCCAAAACAAACAAAATTTCATCTTCCTCACCAATTTAATCAAGTGAGGAGAACACTTCCTATTCCGCCCATAGTTCAAGTTTACCCCTGTCCTGGTTTTTGAAAAGATGTAAATCAGGAACTCATTCCTGTAATAAAGCTTCAGTAGAAGAGAATCTCCATGCACAAGATATATTAACTCATCTTTTATATTATACTCAAGCCATTGTAAGATCTCGAAGTTTATGTTAAATTTCTCAGATGCTAATGTGGTATACTAAAATAAAAATGTTTCTGAACCAGCAAACCTGGGATCAAGTCTTATTTCACTTTTCTTATGACCATGCATTAAATGAACTTTGTACCTCATTTAAGTAAAAAAAAAAAAAAAAAAAAAAAGGTTATGATCTCTTCTGTTTTATAAGGATCTTGTAAGAATTAAGAATGAAGGGCTCAGTCATGCTGGTGCAGGCAGCAGGTCATTGCTGTGTGATATTGGATCCTCATGGGAAGCTGCGGTTTGGATCCCGAGTGGACACATGGGTGAGGGACCCTGTCAAGTATACTTATCTCTATCTATGTCTTTCTCATGAAATAAACTTAAAAAAAAAAGAATCATAATGATTCATATGAAAGCACATGACCAAAAGAAAGAAAATATCTTTATAGAATTGCTAGTAATTATTGTTGGAGTAGATAAAAAAAAAAAAAAAAAGGGTAATACATATATACTTTAGGTTCCCTGATCAAAAGAACTGAAGTCGAAAACCTAAATGGGCAACCTTCCTGGGCCAGGCAGGTGGCTACAAGATGCAGACCCAATTTAACCTCAAGAGGAAAGAGAGCTTTACCTGGGTGGCAATGTGTACCTAGTAGACTTCGGACAGTCAAGTCTACCATGGCTATAAATTAAGACTCCACTTTAAAATATGGCATTTTACATGAAGTTCTATTTTCACTTCACTACACGAATTCTTAACATCTTGACAATTTGAGTTAACTGGACTTAAAAAACTGAAAGGCATGGCAGATAAAGTGAGACAAAAAGAGATGATCACAACCATCTAAAGATAAGGAAGCACAGAACTTGTACAGGTATGTAAATAAAAAACTATTAAGTTCAACAAGAAAGGCTAGAAAAGTGGAAGTGTTATATTATAAAAGAAGAAAACATACATAAATGAGACAGGCCTGAAGAATTCTGTGTCAGGCAGAAACGGATGCTGAAATAATAAAACAAGCCACTAAGCGCAATACACAACACTACTGAAAGAAATCCTTTAACTGAACACAAAGTGGCTTTTTACTACTACTGAAACTTTAGCGAGTAAAAAAGGGAAGTCGTTTCAAGGGATTTTGGGAAGGCTGTTTCCAAGGGTGGCAAAAATATTTAAGTATATTTTCAAAAAGAGCCTACAGTAAATGACATTTAAAAATACCGCCTCTCAACCAATCAACTAGTGTCTTGAGGACCCCCAAGTGTGTCACGTGTAGGAAAGACCCCGAGAGTGGGCCGCGGACCAAGGCGTATGAAACTTTTTCTACTGACGGTCCCTGGAACAAAGCGCCCATCTCGGGGTGCGAAGACCGACGCTAAGCTGAAACTCCCCTCCCAGGCTCTGATGCCCCACCCGGCTCGCTGACTCGCCCTCCAAGCCGGGTCCCACACTGCAAGTCTATCTCCTTTTCCCATCCAGAAACCCCTGCAGGTCCCCACAGCGCTCGCACAGTGTCGCAGGCCGCCGCCCCCAAGGCAAGAGTTTCATTCATTGACCCGGGCGGAGGGGCGGGCGAGCGAGACCCAGCCCAGGCAAGAAGCGCGAGAACTCGAAGCGGGGGGACCCCCGGAGCAGGTGCTTACTCTGGGTGTCCGTTAAGGAGATCATGGCTGGGGTGGTGAGGGCAGTCGCAGGAGCCTCCTGGGGCCACCAGCCTCTCGGAACGTCCAGGGTGGGAAGCTAAGTGGGTTGAAAAGAAGCCGGGAAGCAGCTCAGGCGAGAGCCGCCACGTCTTCCGGAAACACGCAGCCACCCACACCCCAGCTCCAAGACCTCTTCCCATTGGCTAAAGCTGCTCTCAATATAGACCAATAGCTTGTAGTTTTGTTGGGTGACGCGCATGGCGACCACACCCCTTGGCCAATTAGAAAAGGCTGTTATTTGCGATTGGTTGACCAGACCGACCCGGAAGGGTGGATGCTCCCGGCTAGGTGGCGGGAAGATTTTATTGGACGGCGCTGCAGAAGGTTCGTAGCGGTTTGCACGCCGGAGCCCTTTGGGGTCGCAGATAGGGGGTTGGAACGGGATCTGACTATCCCGTGGGGGAAGGTTCTAGGGTAACTCCTATTGAGCTTGAGGGACCGAGAGTGTGTATTCCTTGTGTCATTCTTCCCTTTATTGCCTGAGGGTGAGGCCGGTCTGTCTCGGATCACCAGCACATCGGAGAGAAGCGAGGGTGATAACGCTGCTCTGCTTTTCTGGACTTCACCCACCGTTTACGGAGAAATACCACCAGGGAAGCTTCTGCCATCCCCTGCTTCACAGTAGTTAAATTCTTGTTTCCTCTCAAGGCAGTGGGGCGGGGGAGCGTCTTATTCAGCCTGTGGATCCTCAGTGGCATTTCCTCCAACACTGACGACTTGTTGACATACCTCGTAGTTTGTTTGTTTTTCCTGGGAATGTCGAGCTTATACTTCCGACTGAAAGACCTGCTCTAGCTCAATTTCTTTTGCTATCAAATTGTATCATTTAGGGGAAGGAGCAGTCTTTTAACGGCATCATCAAAGTAGTAGTTTAAAAATAGTGGGGAAAATTGGATATAGATAAATACTTTCAAAAGAGTGGAGATAACCCTTGCTTGCAGTCTGAGCAAACCTGAGCCTGTAGGCTTATGCAAAGCATTTTCCTAGGCAGTGTGTGTACAAATGTGAAAAGCCTCAACCCTTGCCCTTCTAGAGGACTTTACCTTCCAAGGAAAGAATATTTCCATGATGTGATAAAGAAATGTCTATATAGGTAAAGAACTAGAAGTCCTTGGTTTACTCTCCTACTAAACTGTTCTTAGTGGTGTGGTTATTTCATTTTTTAGGAAGGCAGAAAAGACTGCCTTTCCAGTCTCCTGGTACATCAGAATTCTTTGTAGGAAGGACAGAAAGTCAGCAGCCTGAGTGAGGGTGAGTGGTAGTGAAGATACCTTTGGGAAAGAGCATTCTAACACCATAGTTAAGATTGTCCATATCAGAGGGCTGAGGGAGGTGGTCATTGTATTATCAGGAGTTTAAATTTCCTACTCTCAAGACTCATCTTTCACTTGTGCATACGCACACTGAAGTTTTAGTATTCATAGGTACTTAGAATTCCTTAGTACAAATGCTTTCCCCCATCTCTCATCATTCCACAGTCTTTCCTGAAATGTAATCCATCTATAGAATTATGTTTCTTTCTTTCTTTCTTTCTTTCTTCCTGTCTTGTTCTTTCTTTTCTTTTTTTTTTTTTTTTTTTTTTTTTTTTTTTTTTTTTTTATTGCCAGAGGGTGTGTGTGTACACCAGAGAGATACACAGAGAGGGAAGAAAACACTCCCTGTCCTCAATGGGCCATAATCACATCTCAGTCCTTTCTCTTCTATTTCCCCATGTGTCGATTTTTGGGCATACATGCATTTGTGTCCCATGTGTTTTTTAATCTACCAGAGTTGGGATTCTAACTGGTGGTGTGGAACCAGCTCCCATAATCACTATAGCTAGGGGGCTAGGCCTCGATTTCTCTTTCAAGATTCTAACTCTCTAACAAGTGTTTGATGCAATATTTTATTGTTAATTTGATAATTTATGTTATATATTTTTCCTTATTTGAGACATTTTAATCTGTCCAGCTTGTTATTTACAAGATAGATTCTATGATCCTAGTTGTACAGGTAGAGAAAGAGACTTACAGGAACAATGTGTAATTTTTTAAATTCACAGAAATTTAGGGCTAGGACTGTTAGGATCTTAGCTTTTTTGCCACATCACTTTGTATCTGGTGTATGTATGTAGGTGTTATTGACATTGTAACTGTTCTGTGTATGTTTTTGTGACTTTGGACACTTCTTTGAAGTTTAGGAAACTTTCCATAAAAATTAATATGGGAGGCAAAACAAGAGGCTGAGGATTGCATTAGCGATAAACAGGTTCATGCTGGAGCCCTGGATAGGAAGATTCTCTGTCAGATCTGGCCGCTCTGAAGGACTCTGAGGAGAGTTCACACCAGGTAGACGCCTTCTGTTACCGTGGATAAAGGAGACCCCAACAAGCCGATGGACAAAAATATCCTTGTATGCCTTCTTCGTGCAGACCTGCTGGAAAGAGCACAAGAAGAAACACCCAGACTCTTCAGTCAGTTTCAACTAATTCTCCAAGAAATGTTCAGAGGGATGGAAGACCATGTCTGCAAAGGAAAAGTTGGAGTTTGAAGATATGGCAAAAAGTGACAAAGCTCGTTATGACAAGGAGATGAAAAATTACGTCCCTCCCAAAGGTGATAAGAAGGGAAAGAAAAAGGATCCCAATGCTCCGAAAAGGCCTCCATCTGCCTTCTTCCTGTTTTGCTCTGAATATCGCCCAAAGATCACCCAGGCCTGTCCATTGGGGATACTGCAAAAAATTGGGTGAAATGTGGTCTAACAGTCAGCCAAAGATAGGAGGTTGACCAGCCAACCAAAGATAAACAGCCATATGAACAGAAAGCGGCTAAAGTAAAGGAGAAATAAGAGAAGGATATTGCTGCGTACCGTGCCAAGGGCAAAAGTGAAACAGGAAAGGAGGCCCTGGCAGGCCAACAGGCTCAAAGAAGAAAAATGAACCAGAAGATGAGGAAGAGGAGAAGGAGGAGGAAGAAGAAGATGATGAGAAGACAAGGAAGATGAATAAATGACTGTCCTGTAGTGATGTGTGTGGAATGTGTGTGTGTGCTCAGGCAATTGTTTTCCTAAGAATGGGAATTCAAGTGCAGCTCAATATTAGCTTCATTGTAAAATCTGCACAGATTTTTGTATAGCTGATAAGATTCTTTGTAGAGAAAATACTTTTTTAAGAATGCAGGTTATAGCTTTTTGAGGGGCTACTACATACAGTTAGATTTTATAGCTTCTGATGTGGATTACTCCTTAATATTTAACGGTTTAATTTCTCGACTTGTGTATGGTAGCACAGCACACTCAGGAATTGGTCTCAATAGTAAATTTTGGGTTTTTTAGGATGTTGCATTTTGTGTTTTTTCCAATTTTGTAATGAAATTATGTATATTATTAAAAAAAATATGGGGTGGAACCAACAGTTGGTGTAATAGCTATGTCGCTGGACTCCCATGTAGTCGACGGTGGTTCGAGTACTGAACATGTTGGCATAAACTCACACTGGGTGCGTGTGCGTCCATGCCCAAGATTCTGAGAGGAGAATGGATTGCAACATGGCCATCCCCCCCCCCCCCCGGGCAGCGTGATGGGTGATTTCTCACTGTCTGTCTCTCTGTTTCTTGCTGTCTTTCTGGCAAGCACATGCACCCTATAGCAATAAATAAATAAATAAATAAATAAATCTGGGAAGAACCATGTAGTCTTTATCTAACAGGTCATTGCAATCTGTAATATAATTAGCTTTCTAAAGTTTTTCATGCTTAGTAGTGGCAGATTATGAGTGATTAAGCATTGTCAGTAGTACTGTTTTAAAACATTATTTTCGTTATTTTTATTTTTAGAAATTGGGATCTCCATTTCAACTTTAAGATGGAGTCTGTTTCAGGTAAGTGGAAATGATTACATGTTATTCATTCTGTTCGATTTTGAATTGTATGCTCTTTGGAAAAAAGTCTTTAAAATTCTGATTATAGATTGTTTTTAAGTTTTTTTAAATTGTGGTAGAATATACATAACACAATTGACCTTTTTCATTATCATTAAGTGAACAACTGCTTAGCATTAGTGCCTTGATGTTGTTACACAACCGTCCTCACTATCCAAGGAAAGTGAGGGGTCATGCCCACACTACAGTCCCTGCTCCATTCTTCTGTCTCGATTTTGGGCATGCACACACATGCACCTGGTGTGATTTTCAATCCACCAGGTCTGGGGCTTGAACCATGGCTGACCATTAGGGAGTCCAGTGGCTTAACCACTAAGCTACTTGCTGGCCCTGGCTGTCTTCATTTTAAAAATGTGAACACTGGTGCATTGAACATCTCTGAGTCTAAATCTTTGTATGGTTCTCTGATTATTTTTTAAAGATAAGTTTCTAGAAGTAGAGTTATTGAAATTTTTTAATACATAAAAGAAAAAAAATCTGTTAATCTACCTTTCCCAGGCAACTATTAGCATCTTGATATAGTTCTATCATTTGTTTCTGTAAACTTGATTAGATTGTACTATGCTTAATAATGAGTTTTGCCTTCTACTTGGTTAAGAGGTAGTTGGCAGGATGAAGTACTTATACTATGATAATTTTTCAGCCTTTTGTAGAGTATAGTGAATATAGCTTTTCTTATATACTTACATATATTTTTTTTTTCCATAGGGCAGGTGTCCTATCTTTTAAAGAGAGATTTTTGCTATATGGTGTGTCTGCTCACCTGAGAGAGAGACAAAAGGAGATAAAAGTGAGAAATCACCCCCCAGCAGGGAGAGCCACAGCACAATCCCTTCTCGATTCTCATGTTGGAATTGTGGGCATGCATGATGAGTTCTTTTTTTTTAATTGAGAGGTTTTTGCTATAGGGCGCATGTGCTCGCCAGAAAGACAGAGAGACAGAAAGCGAGAAATCACCTCCCAGGGGGGATGGCCACGCTGCTGTCCCCTTCCTTCCATCCTCCCCTTAGGCATGCACACACATGTGTCTGGCATGAGTTTAAGCCACCGAGTCTGGGACTCAAACCGCGGTCGACTACATGGGAGTCCAGCCACATAGCCATTACACCAACTGCTGGTCCTAGCCGGCATGAGTTTTAAACTGCCAGGTCCAGAACTCAATCTGCGATCAGCCATGTGGAAGCCCAGAGACATAACCATTATGCCACCTGCCGGCCCACTTACATACTTTCTTTTCCAGTGGGTTAATGAAACCAAGTTATTTTTAGACTTGAAAAAGCATGTTTTCCTTTCCTTTTCTTTCTTTTTTTTTTTTTTTAAAAAAAGCTTATTTATTTCTTCCATGAGAGTGAGAGACAGACAGAAAGATAAGCACCCTCAATAGTATCTCACACTGTAGTCTCTCCCCAGCCTTCCCAGGCAGCCAGAATCATGGACACACACATGCCTGGTACTTAAGTTTAACCCAGGAACTGAACCTGTAGTCTTCTACATGGATCCTACAAGCACTGCTTAGGCAGTGCATTACTGCTGTGCCATAGAGCCAGACAAGAAATATTTTTCTTAAATGGGGAACCGCCTCAATACACACAACTTTAAAATTTCAATATAAATATAAACACATAGTGACATGACTCATTCTCACAGGCTGCGGGTTAATAATAAATGGTAACAATTTAAGTTTTAAGTTGACCCCTGTGTGCTTTCTTCCATGACAAAAATGAGGGTTTAAGAGATATTACTGAATATATCCCTAGTTCATTATGGTCATTTTTAGATTGTGTTATTTTACTTAAGAAGACTACAGGTTCTACTAGTGAGACTTTTTAAAAAAATTAATAAAATAGTGGGGCCAGCAGTTTGTGTAATGGCTATGTTGCTGAACTCCTGTGTAGTTGACCATGGTTCGAGTCCCAGACCCAGTGGCTTAAACTCATGCTGGGCGCATGTGCGTGCTTGCTCAAGATCCTGAGAGGAGGATGGAGAAAAGGGGACTGTGGTGTGGCCATCCTCCCTGGGGGGTGATCACTTTCTGTCTCTGTCTCTCTCTGGCAAGTGCATGCACCCTATAGCGAAAACCTCTCCAAAAAAAAGAAAAAAAAATGCCTCTTTGAAATCACTTTCAGTTTATTGCTTTGAATTTGATGGCTTTTGTGGTGAGAAATCACTTCATTAATATCAATTTGGGATATTGCTAGAAAACATGCTGCTTCTGAAGAGTACTAGACCTCATGTGTCAGCCTTGTAAGCTTAGGAATACTGGGAAGCAATCCTCACTCAAGTCAGTAGGCTCTTGAGATGAGTAATAGTAATAAGCTGTGTGCGCTTGTAATTCCTCTCCATGACAGTTTGGTGGAGTCATTCACTTGACTTTTCAGTTTTACTTCTTATAGTTAAGTCTTGTTTTGGATTAGGCCAGTGATAGACCTGGTATAATTTTGAGCAAAAATGGTAAGAGGGAACTCCCCATGAGGTTGTAGGTACAGATTGGGAAAGAGGAGTCAGGCTTGCAACAGTGTGGTCCATGAGCATGTGCAGTGCTTGCTCAAGCCTCCACTTAGAACCTGCTTGAGCTCGCTTTTGCATCTACCACTTCCATTGGGACAGTAGAGGTCTGCCTGTGAATCAGTGGATTACATGATACTTGCTTAATGCCAGGCAGTGCAGGTCACAGGTGACTTAGTCACGTTTTTTTTTTTTTAAGAATTATTTTATTTATTTATTTTAATTTGACCAGAAGGGGGGGAGGGAGAGAGAGGGAGAGAGAGAGAGAGAGAGAGAGAGAGAGAGAGAGAAAGAGAGAGAGAGAAAGAGAGGACAAGCCACCAGGTCCAGGACTCGAATAGCAGTTGACCATGTGGGAGTCCAACGCCCTTAACCAGCCCGCCACCTGCTGGCCCCAGTGACTTAGTCCCTTATAAGACATAGGAACAAAGAGGACATTGTTTCCATAAGGAAGTTAATATATGTTGCCTCCCAAATGCAAGTAGTCCAAATAGCCAAATGTAGAAACAAATCCTTTATATTGGAAAGGATATCTCAGTGTGTCCCTTACTTTTTGATTCATAGAAATTTCAGCAACGTGGCAGGTCTTTAATTTTTTATTTATGGGATTTATTTTTCATCCTCTTGCATTTATCTGTATTTATAGATTTTGTAAAGTAGCTGGTACTGCTAGTTCTTGCTCAGCAGATCAGATAAGCATGATATCATCACTGCAGTGAACCAGTGTGATATCTGGTAGAATGAAGAGGAAATCGACTTCTCTGCAGATTAGATTATAGTTTAGGGCTAGAGAGCTAAGACACCTCTGAGACAGGAGAAGAAGGTATATTGCTGGCCCTGTGAATTTTGATAGTTTTTATTAAGATATACATTCATATAGAGAATTAAACACTTAGCATATTAATACCTGTATGCCCGGTATCAGGGAATGTGTTATGTCCCATCAATTAAATGACATCTGAGATTACAGCTGCTATTGAAGTGACAACCTTATTAACTTTATATGAACTCATTCTTAATCTCCAAGATCCTCTTCTGCCCAGGCCACATGGGTGAGTTGAATGGCGATATTGTAAGGTTCATTACCCTGGCTCTTTCAGGCCCTAAGTGTGGGCAGTCATCTCTGAAATCCCTCCAGGAATGTAGTATTGCATTGGTTTACTGTTTTGGTAGGTAAAGAGAGTTTAACTGGCTTTCACTTGATTTTTTTCTTCCAATAGTAGTTCCAACTTATGGGGCTCTTATTCTGTCTCTTGGTGAGTTTATCTGTTCTAATTATACATTCTAGAAATGGGAAAATAACCACATAGTGGGTTAGAGGACCTACTGAGCTCACCACGTGATGGACCTGAGCTAAAACGTTACTGATCCCCTGATTTGCACAAGCCCAGCCCATGCCCTGACTGGCAGACGACCAAAGAAATTTGGTTCTCTAAGAATTAACATCAGCTCAGAGCTAATGTCTAATAATTTCTGAGACGTTATGTTCTTTTCCCCAATGCATGGTTATCCTAATAAATTTCTCCGGTGAAGACTGCGGGAAGATTTACTACATTAATTTTTAGCTGTGTTATAAATCCTTTTTAAAAGGATCTCTATCTCTTTTTTATTCAAGGGGCTCTGGTTCTACAAACTGACTCACTCCTGGGAATTGGGTGAAGGACTGTGACTCTTTGTGGTAATGTGAATCAGACTTTCATTGATCAGAATTAGAGCATTTTATTGTGTGCATTTTAGGAACAGCATGATCTGTGGCTCAGGCTGTTCTGATTTATTTCAGCTCTGTTGCCTATATGGTAACTACGTCCTCCTTGTTTTGGGTCATGAATTGAATTGCCACCTTTTATTTTATTTATTTATTTAATGGAGAGGTTTTTGCTATAGGGTGTGTGTGCTCGCCAGAAAGACAGAGACAGAGAGACAGCGAGAAATCACCCCCTCAGGGGGGATGGCCACTCCTCAATCCCTTCTCCTCTTTTCTCCTCTCGGGATCGTGGGTATGCATGCACACATGCCCGGTGTGAGTTTAAGCCACCGGGTCTGGGACTCAAACCAAGGTCGACTACATGGGAGTCCAGCGACTTAGCCATTACGCTAACTGCTGATACCATGAATTGCCACCTTTTAACCTCCACACCTTGGAGTCTGTTATTCTTACTGAATCCAGGGCAGTACTTCCCACTGTCATTCCTGGCTTACAGAAGACAGCCACCGGACCTCATCCGGGTGCTGAGATTCTCCTTGTGACTGTACTTCTCATAGCATTGGTCAATGGAGTGTCCTCTGGATCCTCCTTAGGGACAGCAAGGAAGTGATGATCAGTCAGTCAATAATCCTGATTTCCACTGTAGCACTCCTGTCTCCCTCAGCCTCTAGATTTCTTTCTTTAGAGTATGTCCAGGAAATTCTAGCACTTCCTCTTTATTGGAATCAATATCATTCCATCCTAATTTTATAACACTTTTGGGGCCAGATTTCAGATGACCAATCAGGCAAATTATTAGAGTCGCTCCTGGCCATTATATCTGACGTATTAAATCCAGAATTTCTTAGTAAGCCTGCATCCGGCTTTTCCCACATATGCTCCTTAGGTTTCTGTGGATATATTGGCTAATACAGGTCTTTCTGTGTGTATCATAACTTCTCATGGGCATACTTTCTTAGTTCATCCCCTAGGGCTTCCTGAGTCTTGAAGAGGTTGTAGAACAGGGTCTTAGGAGATTTGGCAATTGCTTATAAAACAGCAGTGATCATTATAGATATTTCAAGCAGGAGATTGTTTCAGAATGGAGAAGCAGGATGAACGAGACATCACAGAATTTAGTGGCTCAGGTTTCCCTATTTTGCTGGACTCTGCCTTTATGTTTCCTTCCCAGTTTTGGACTTTCACTCTTT